GGGGGACGAGTCACACGTGCGGGAAAGAGAGCGATAGAGGCCGGATGACGTTGACCTCAACGAGGCGCCGGCGGTGAACGGCGCAGAGAGAAGGGAGGACGCGACGTCCGCGCGCCGCGACGCTGACGCACCGTGTATATTTGGCTAGTCCCGCGCTCACAACGTCCGAATCGTGCATAGCAGCTTCTTCTTCTTGTACTAGGTAATACGTTCGAGCGAATTCTGTCCGCGCCGATATGACCGCCGTTGGAGCCGGAAGGGTACGAGACTAAGAATAAGCATTTGATGAAATTGGGAGAAAACGCGACGTTTCCAACCGAGAGGAAGTTCATTAAACTCCCTTGGCAATTCGCGAGAGAAAAACTTGAAAAGAGACGAGACTATTTTCGAGCGCTACGTCCGGCTGTGTTCTTCAAAACCTCCACAATTATATCGTACTTTGTATCTCAATAAACTTTATTCATCGACGAGATAAATCATTGGGCGGTTTGGCTTGGAAAAAAAAACACTTTTTCAATCAATGATTTCTGTTTGGTAATCTTCCAAAGGGTCAATTCTGATCAATTTTGAGAAAAAAAAGTGATATGAGACTATTTACACGCAAATATACCATAGCAACTATTAAAAATACTATTATAAATTTTATTCAAATAATTAAATAAATTATTATGTTGTATTATTATGTTTATTGCAACTAGCATAGTAATAATTTCGTATGTAAGGTGAATAGAGAAAAAAAAATTAGTTTTAAATCAAAAAATATATTCTTGTATATAAGCAAGAATATTGTAATCTTCTTAAAAATTTTAATTTTGATTTAATTGAATTTGTATTAATGCAAGTATTACTCTTGCTTAACTCAAGATTAAAAATCTATTTGTCTCTTATATATGAGAATATCTATACTCGCATCAATACCAAAATTTTTCTAAAAAAAATTAAAATATTTCTGCTTGTATAGAGAATATATAATCTTCATTTAAGATTAAATTTTTTTTCTACGTGATATCTACTAATATCAGTATTGTGAAATTGTGTATCTCTTCAGTTTTTTTCGTCTACTTCGTATACCTGCGCGCTTACGCACTCGCAATAATTATACTGTAAACATAATGTACACTCTTTCATATATCTCCAGTCATCAAAAGAACTACTGGACCACTGTGGCATCGAGCGTAAATGAATCATTAATTATCAATTGTTCGATATATAATCGTGAGATTGAATAGAGGACCACGGTAAAAATAGCGCAAAATAATGACGGGCAAAGCGAAAGGTATAAATGCTGTTGCTGCATAGCGACACATCGACGTTAATCTACGCTATGCGTTTGGATCTGATCGACAGCGATCTCTCGCACGATCGTCGTACTCTCGGCCTTTCCATGCGAATATCACGATCGCTGAGAGGAAGCTTCGTGTCTTTCTTATTCAGCTTTTGGTTATACGGCCAACACTATATTTCCGTATATATCGTGAAGGATTTGCCAAAGCGAGAGAAATTGAGTCATACAACATTGATGACGGACACTTTCGGAAGGCAAAACGAGCGCTACTCACCGGTTGAAGCTCTTTTCGGAGGTGGCGTGCTGCTGCAGCCGGCTGATCTGAAAGAGCTGTTCGTCTCCTCCGCCTTCATCACTCCCGCCCCCGCCCCCGACACTGTCCCAAACATCGGTTCTGGATTCGTCGGAGCCCTCATTACTGTCATTGACCTCTTCGTCGTCCTCGGCTTCCATTGCTGCACATTTGATAGATCCAGAATTAGTGAAACTATCGTAAAATATGTCAAAATGCATAAGAAATTATTATTGTTTAGCATATTAAACTTGGCGTGAAAGTTTCATTCATGGAGAGCAGGCAATAATTCTCCTATTTCGTAATCGAGAATATTTTTTTATATATCGCACATTAAAATTATCATTAAAGCTGTTATTAATTGACTTTACAAAGATAAATACGGAAATAGAATCTTAATAATATTCAGATATACTTATAAGCGTACAAAAATAATTTTACAATCAAATATTGTCTAATCGTAGTAATGTAAAACGCAAAAATCGACGCGTCTTACATCACTTCTGTAAATTAACTATACCCTCATTTCAACTTACTCTTTATTTTTCTAATTTTTTAAATTAAAAGAAAAAAATTGAAAAAAAAATAAATAAATAAAAAAAATAATAAAAAAAATAATTAAAAAAAAATTGAAAAGTAAGTTAAACCGAAATTAAAACTACGCTAATACATTTTTCTAAACTACTTCTCAGTGAAATTATGTTTCCATTTCCTAAAGTGACAAGTTTCAAGATATTTTTTCGGAATGCGTTCGATGAAGTAATTTCGGAAGAGCAATCCACTTTTAACAAATCATTCACCCTGACTTCGGAAGAACAAATCGATCGTAGACAGATCGTACGCTTACCGATTCGATTTCTTTTTATCCAAAAATGAAGCCACTGGCAGTAAGAGTCGCTGAATGTAACAAGTACGACGTCAACGACAGATGATACGATAGCAATGAAGAAACGACTCAAAGGAAAAGATATCGCGGATATCTTTGAGACTTCGAACATGCTTGTCTGTACTTAAATCTCCTCTTTTCCTCGCTATTTACTATTTCGTCTGCCCTGCAAAGTCCTCGTTCTATTTTTCTTTGCCCTTGTTATTGATTTTTATCGATCTCTTTTTTTCCCGTTGCTTTCCACTTTAAACTACTCGTTTTAGCGAAGTTACACGAAAGGCGATGAACTGGGACACACAGTTATTGGTTAGCGTACGGTTACTGGCCACACTTGAGAGTTCATAAGCTTCTAATTCTTGCATTTATGCCAAATTTCCATGACAGCGTGTTTCTTTAAGAATAATAACGATGCAAATTACTCAAAAGTATCATGAATAACGAGTAACCAGACATACGTTTCCAAGTATAATTTTTTCGTGTTATAAAATTAATAATGGGTCAATTAAAATCAAAATTTTTAAATTATTTAATTATTGCTATTATTGCTCTTTTAATAAAATGCTCGTCGGTTATAACTCAAGAACACAATTTCAATATTACAAATTATACAGAGAAATTATTATAATAATAAACAAAGCTGATTTAGAAGTCATATAGGTTGTATTCGTGTTAAGAAATAAACTCGTTAAAATTATACAGGTTTCAATTTCTGATTGAAAGAAAAATCAATATATCGACTTCTCATCTGATATTTTTGCCAATCGGATTGCAGGCTCTCTTTTACCGCAAAAAAAAAACTCGATCAAATCTACCGGCTCTTCTATTTAAAACGAGTATCCTCCCTCGTTGAAACTATTTTTTATATGACATATATTTTCCGGTATACTCACTCTTTGAATGTAATAGACGTTACCAATCAGAAAAAGATGGCTCCAAAGTCATTTAAATCACACTCGACGCACCAGACACACGTAAAATTTTTCTACATTATAATACGAATCAGAAAATATTTCCTGACGGTTCATTTCCATTAATTTTCCAAAAACTACTATCAGATTTCGTCAAACAAGCATTTGTTTCTGTCAATAATTTATATACGAGACGTCCAATAGATCATAAAATCAGCGAGAAAACGATTCCTTGTAAAGAGACAAATAAATATACAAATGTTGCATTATGTTCAAAAAGAATTATTCTAAATATGATATTCGAATAAAGTAACTTACTATTTTTGTTTTATTTTATATATATATATCGATATTTATTCATTTAAACTCCTACTAATTAAATTCAATTCTATATAATAATTAACAACATACAGTTGTGGAATGTTACCGTTATCTGTTTGCTAACGTTTCCTAGAGCTTATTCTGGCCGTACCATATGTCCATGTCGAGAGATCAGTGAAAACTGGCAACGGTATGTCCGGTATCATAATAAATACGCAATGTCACGTAAACAAATTCTCTCGTGCAAATATTTTACATGATCAATAGACGTTCACAAGTGTCAATACATAAACACGTGCTCGCACTTTCATATTCAAAATAGATTTCCTCGGAAAGCATACCAATCGAAAAATTTATTCTATATATATATATAAAATTTTCCCTATGAAAAACCTTTCCTTTCTCGATTCGTTGGATAATCTGTGTTTAAATTGACACATAATGAAAATGCTCTTACGTTTTACATATAATAAATTTAGTATTTTATTGGATTATAAAGTAATCGGCCATGAATTTTTGAATATTACAGAAAAAATTAAAATTTAG